GATGCTTGGACACGATGCCCGTCTCCTGACTGTGGGAGTGGATGCCCTCGGGGTCGCATATGCGCCCGCCCCGGAGACGCGCCCACCCTGCCCCACAGCAGTCCCTCCTCGGCTCTGAAATGACAGCCTGGGATGGCCTGGCCAAGCCCTCAGCCAAGGTGTCCTCACCTGCCCCCAGGTTGGCATGGCCCTCCGTGCTCTGCAGGCACGAGACATGAGGGGACACAGGCGTTGGGGGCAGATGTGAGCACAGCCATCAGCCAGGCCGAGGGGTGGCCCTGGAAGGACCCCACGGCCCACGGTGGAAAAGCATGGCCAATGTCAGGGACACCCCTGTCCCCAGCCCTTGTCACCTCTTGGGGGTGCAGGGGCGTATCTGGCTATCAGCCCTGACAGGCCTGAAGTGTCCCCAGCCAGGGCGCTCCCAGGAGGCTCCAGGACGGGATCCGGTCCGTCTGTGCTGCGTGGTCGGGGGTCCCTGAGCGCGGCTGCAGGGTAAGTGACCGCTCCTCGTCCCTGGCAGCAAGGGGGGACCTTCCATCTTGTTCCGCGTGTCGTACCCATGTCTTGGAGAGAGGCCCTGTGGACGGTGTGGGCCAAGTCCGGGCTCATCACTGCCGGCCTGGTGGTCTCGGAGCCTCCGCAGATGTGGAACTAAGAGCGGTGCCTCGGCGGGTCCCCGGGGCCCAGGGTGGGTGGTGTGGACGGCTGGGCCGGGAGCGGTCTCCCCGAGGCCTGCTGTCCCCTGCCCGGACCGGGGCCTGTCACCCAGGGCATCCTGCCCTCTCTGCTGCCATCCTGATGCCGTCCTGGCAGCTAAAGTGGCCGTGCCTGCTCCCGGCTCACATTACGGGAGGCCCCTTTCTGCCCAGTGTTGGCATGTAGCCCGGGCATGTGTGTGTGTGCGGAGAGCTGTCTTAGTGCCATGTCCTGGCCCCTTGGAAGGCTCTGTGGGGGCGGGACAGACAGGGCAAAAAGGGAAAGAATGAAGCAAAAGGATCTTACTTCTTGGTGCATCCTGGAGGCCCACCTGGAGGAGGTGGCACTGAAGTCTTTTAACTAAGCAGCTCAGTTCAACCGAAACGTGGACTCGGTTATTCAGCAGTCACGCGCCAGGCCTCACGCTGGGCCTTCCGAGGGGACGCCAGCAGACAGGCCCCGCCTGGGGAGCCCTTGTGGGTCAGGGAGCAGCAGTGGGCAGCGGGGGGGCCGTGGTCTGACGAGAGTGGGGCAGGGGCCACAGGGCCCAGCTGGGGCATCAGAAGGCCTCCCTGCAGGGAAGCCCAGGCCCGGGGGACACCAGGAAGGTGGGTTTGGGTTTCAGGCTTCACTGGGAGGGTCGTGAGCTGGGGGGGAAGGGGGGCTGGTGGAGTTGTTTCCACCTGCATGCCCAGTGGGCACCGAAAGACTGAGGGGCCGGTGGGGTGTGGGTGCAGATTCCGGGGCAGTCCCGGAGCCCCCAGGGCGGCGGTGACCCCTGGGCGGGAGAGAACAGGCATCTGGGGAGGGCCCGGCCGGAGCTCGAGGTGGGAGGGTCTATGTCTCTGGGTCCCCAGCCCAGCCTGGGTGCCCGCTGAGATGCACCCCGCCCGGACCAGGCACGGCCAGGCCAGCCGGTGGGGCTTTGGCGTCCGGTGGGGTGGGGGCCTGAGGCCGCCCTGTCGGGGAGGCCAGGGTCATGTGGGTGTCCACGTCCAGGGCCCCGAGGTCGCCAGCCCTGGGCTCGGCAGGGCTCTTGCAGGCGACTCTTGTACGAGGGGAAGCCCCTGGGCTGCTCTGGGGAGAAGGCGTCAGCACTCACTGTGGAGTCGGGCATCGGGACCCTGTGCCTCGGGCTCCAGGTCGCCCATCGGCTCCTCCGGGGAAGGACCCAGCCCCGCAGGAGCTCGCGAACCTCGGTCCAATCTGTCGCAGCCTCCGCTAACCCGTGTCTGAACGGCACTGACTTCGTTTTCTTTTTTTTTTTTAATCCTCACCCGAGGATATTTTTCCATTTTTTGTACAGATAGAGTGGGAGGGAGAGAGAGGAAGGGAGAGAGAGAGAGAGAAACATCGACGTGAAGGGACACATCGAGTGGCTGCCACCCGCACAACCAACCAGGGCCGGGGACAAACTGCAACCGAAGTACGTGCCCTTAGCGGGAACCGAACCCAGGTCTCTCCGGACCGCAGGCCGACGCTTTAACCGCTGAGCCAAACTGGCCAGGGCTGACTTCGTTTTCTTTAAGGAGTTTTAAAACCGTGTTGGCCTGGCCTGGCTGGTGTGGCTCAGCGGTTAGAACGTCGGCGCGTGGACGGAAGTGTCGTGGGTTTGATTCCCGGTGAAGGGCACGTACCTGGGCTGCAGGTTCGGTCCCGGCCCAGTTTGGGGTTGTGCCAGAGGCAACCAATCCCTGTGTCTCTCCCATCGATGTCTCTCCCTCCCTCCATTCCACCCTCTCTAAAAAAACAATCAATGGAAAAATATCCTCGGGTGAGGACAAACAAAAATAAATAAGTAAAAAATATAAAGAAAACATTTTAATTGTGGTAAAATACAGATGACATGAGATTTCCACGTTCGGTGCACAGCCGGGTGGCACTGAGCACAGCCACGTGGTCATGCAGCCACCAACACCACCGTCCTCTCCAGAACTTTCCACGCTCCCAGACTGAAGCTCTGTCCCCACTAATCACTCACTGCCCAGCCCCCAGCGCCCACTGTCCTCCTTCCCGTCTCTGTGGTCTGACTCCCCCGGGGCTCCTGTGAATGAGGTCACACAGCATCTGTCCTGTGACGGCCTCGTTCCCTCGGCAGAGTGTCCTGGGGTGCCCCTGGCACACACACCGTTTCGTCCGCACCAACGAGCGTTTCCAAACCCGCACTCACTCCGCGGGTCCTGTGAGTCCGTGGAGCGGCCTCCGCGGGGCGGGCAGCCCGGGCGGGGCCTGGACCGTCAGCCCGCTGCCCGCTCAGCTCCCGATTCCTCGGCGTGGGCCCTGTGTGGTTCTCGGTACCGGCTCCGACGTCACCGGGAAGTGCCCCGAGGTGGGGGACACCGTCACCGTAGGTTCAGGTGCTCCCGAGGGTTCAGGGCACGTCCCCTGCCTTCCCCAGGTGTCCGGCCTGGGTTTGGTTGTTGGGTCACCTGAGCTATGGTGCCGTGGGCAGGAGGAGGCCTGTGGCTCACCTGCCGTCTGCCTCTGGCGTGCCCTCCGCCCCCCGGCAGGGCTCTTTCACGTCCTCAGGGCACCTGGCCGCTGCAGTGATGCCCGATAACGTCCGGATGTCCCTTGGGACCGGAGCTTGCGGTCACGGCTCCTGAGGCGGCTGGCGGTCAGGACACAGACGAGGCATTGTTCTGCGGGGCGTGGAGCTACCCTTGCCCCTGGCGGTGGCCTCTTCCTGCCCACACTCATGCACCCTCCTGGATTGGGTCAGGCCGCCCTGGGGTCCAGGCGGCCTCTGGGGTTGGCATCTTCCCTCCCAGAGGCCGTGCTCCACGGCCTGTGTAGAAAATGGGGCCTCGTCTCCTCGCTCTGGGGGTTCGGGGCTGCCTGATGTTGGAGCTCGGGACTCGAGCTGGGACAGAGGGCTGGTGGCTCAGCCTGCAGAGGCAGGAGGGGGTGCCACGCACCCCAGGTGTGAGCCCGGGCAGGGACCCTGTCCTGCGTCCCCGGCACAGGACAGAGCAGGCACAGCACACTCCGGGACACGCTTCTTCCTGTAATGAGCTCAGTGTGTGTGCTGTCTGAGCAGCCTGCAGGTAGTGACGGGCCCCTCCCCTCAAGGTCGCAGGCCCAGCAGGAGCTCGGCGGGCAGTGACGACCCGCGGCAGGCAGACTGCCATCTGGCAGGAAGGGACTGAGGGACGACGATGTGCAGACATGGGCTTGGAAGGTGCTGAATCTGCGGTTTGCAGGCGAGAGACGCTCCCTGCAGTGGCCCGTGTCACCGCCTGGCAGGAAGTGGTCACCACGAGGCTGAGACAGCAGAGACGCCGTAGCCGGTCTCCTACTGCTGGGGCAGGGACAGAAGATGGGGAACTTCCCGCTCATGGCTGGGCGTGGAGCTGGGGGCCGGGGCTGGGGCAGCAGGACCCACAGACCTGAGTCCAGACCCTGGCCCGAGGGAGCCCTTGCTCAGGCCTGTGTCCTTGCCTGTGAGACATGGAGGCTTGGGGACAGTGGTATGGGGTGTGGTGCGTGACTCTGATGTGGACGGCTTGTTGATGTGGCAACTGTCGGTCAGCTGAACAGTGGCCCCAGGGACGTTCGTGTCCTGATCCCTGAACCTGTGATGGGCGACCTTCCATGGACGGGGCCTTGCAGGGGTGGATTATCCATGGTCCTCACTATCATCACAAGGAGGGTCAGAGGTCAGGGAGGGAGAGCAGCTGTGCCTCAGTTTCCCCGTCTGTAACGTTGGTCCGAGGACGGTGCGCTGCCTGTCGTGGGAACTTGTCACTGTCTATTTCAAGTGCTGGTGGGCAGGGGACATGGTGGCGGTCGGTCCCGTGGCTCCACAGAGAGTGATGGACTCACCCCCCCAGGCTGGGTGGGTGGCTCCATCCCTCCTCCTCCTGTGTCCGTCTGTCCTGCGTCCATAGTCCCACAGGGAAGTGGCCATGGGCTCTGGCTTGTGTCAGGGAAACTGAGGCAGGGGACCTACCTGGGCTTTTGTTCCTGGGGTGCTGCCTGCCGACACAAGACCTCCTCTGTGCAGAGGCCTCGGGGCCCCGTTAGCACCCCTGGGTCTGGGAGTGGGGCCGGGCACACGTCACTGGCCCTCAGGACGTCCCAAAGCTGAGCATGCCTGAAACTCAGAATTTTCGTGACCCCAAAAGGAAAGCCTGTGCCCCCTGAACCTTTTGGCTACCTCCGCACTTGCCACCTGGTTCACTGGCTGGTGGCTGGTGGGGTCTGGGGAGGGGTGTTTGCGGGGGGAGGGGCAGGCTGGCCACGGGAGCCGGCCACGAGAGCTGCCACGGGAGCTAACCACGTGTCCTGCTGCCTTACAGCTTCCTCATCGTCCTGGTCTGCCTCATCTTCAGCGTGCTGTCCACCATCGAACAGTACGTCGCCCTGGCCACAGGCACCCTCTTCTGGATGGTACGTACACTCGGCGGCCACGGCTGCCCAGGGGCTCTGGGCTCCCAGCCATGGGCGTGGAGCAGGGTGAGCTGCTGCGTGGTGCCCGCTGGCCAGTGACTCTGGAGGTGGGGGGACCCCTCTAATGCACGCCGGGATGTGAGCATTGGACTGGTCGGCCTGAGGCTGGTGGTCTGGGAGGGCTTCCTGGGGGAGGGACCTTCTGAGCTGGGCCGGGAAGGAAGGACAGGAGGGCATGGCCTCGAGGAACTGGAGTTGTGGTCGGCAGGGACTTGCCCAAGCCTGCACTTTGGCCCAGGTCTGGGTGACGCTCGAGCTGGGTCTGTCCCTTCCACCGAGTGACTCCACCCTCACACCTGGTCCCCGGCCCCGAGGAAGGACTCAGGGGTGCTGGGAGCACAGCAGAAATGGCTCCTCTCTCCCCAGTCGCCTGCGAGCCCCTGGGGCAGGGCCTGGGAGTGGGGAGCCCGTAGCCCTGCTGGGCCAGTGCCGGGGTCACCTCCAGGTGGTCACCTCCAAGGGGACCCGGCGTGCAGCTCCCTGAACACTGACAGCTGACTGTGCCGCTGTCTGTCTGGTGTGTTTTGTGTGTTTCCGTGTCTAACTGTGCACCCACCACCCACAGGCGGAGGGAACCCCGGCTCCCCCGCCTGCCCGTCTGCAGCCCCAGGGTCGGTCACCCCTGCGTGGGCCTCATCTTCCTCCCGGCTCCGCGCCTGGAGCCGGGCCGTCTCGCGCTCTGGCGGCTCCGGAGGAATCAGCAGGGTTCTTCTCGCACCCGCACCGGTGGTTTGTGGTCTCATGTGGTCGATGGCCCTTGGGAGAGACCTGACAGTGTCGGAAGGAACAGGGTCCCGCTTGTCGGTCCCTGTGGTCCTCAGCCACCCCAGCACCACTTACTTAAAAGTCCACCTCTCCTCCCCGGTGTGAAGTAGCATCTAAGAAAACCCCTTACCCGAAGACATGGTCACTGGTGTTTAGAGAGGAGGAGGAGAGAGAGAGAAACAAGCGCCGATGTGAGAGAAAACATCGAAGGGTTGCCTGGCACGCACGCCGACCGGGATCGACCTGGGGATGTGCCCTGACAGGGACTTGAACCCGGGACCTTTGAGTGTCCAGGACAACACTCCAGTCAGCTGCATCGCCGGCCAGGGCCTGCGGTGGCGTTTTTATCGTAAACGAGATGTCCAGGTGGCAGGGACCCACTTGGGGGGACGCTTGTTCTGGGCCACTGGTCTGAGTGACTTCGCGTCCCGGGGCCACCTGCTTCGGTGACACGTGTACGGAAACCTGTTTCATTTTGCGGTTTCATTCCACACACGACTTCTTCAGGGACCGCCTTCCCAGTGACCGTCGCAACCAGCGTGTCCTGTGCCTGGAAAACCCGACGGCGTTGGCGGCCTGAGTGTGGGGACTGCCTGTCCCTGAGCCGGCGGCTTTGTCGCGAGGGCTCCAGACCGCGGTGTTCGGCTCATGTCCAGGATCAACGATGGTGGTCCGTACCGCCCGCTGCCGCCCCGATGGGGTCCCCTCGCCTGCTACGCCTCCTGTTCTCACTCCTGTTCATTTTCCCCGTGGCTGTGACTTCCGTCACTTGAGTGGCCTGTTCCGTTTGCAGCACTTTTTCTCCGGTGCTTTCCGGGTACGAAGCTGGCGAGCAGAGGCGCTGGCGGCCTGGTCAGCGCGCTGGGCCGCCCGGAGACTCGGGCCCGCGGGCCGCTCTGGCTTCGGCCGGCCTCGGGGCCGGGCCCTGGAGTCCACGCCAGGGCGTGGTTTTGACTGCGGTGTGGCTGTGTCCTTCCCGGCTCCGTGGAGATGCCTGGGCGGGGGCTGTCCCAACGCTGACCCGCTTCTCCGGGACGAGCCCCCGCCCCCGGGGCGCGGGTGTCAGATTTGACAGTTTCTAGCTGCCTCGATTAGACTGTGTCTCGTGTAGAAGTAGGGACAGGCTCCCCGGCAGAGCAGGACGGCCGCCAGGCATCCTGGGTCACCTGGCTGTCCCTGCCCTCCCCTCCCCTGTTCCCAGGGACCCCTGGGAGAAGCCCCGGGGCCAGGCCGCGTGCACGGAGGCCCCGAGGCCGCAGCTCCCTGCCTTCGGACGGCGTGTCCACCCAGCGGCCTAGAGAGAGTGTCCCACGGCCCCGCTCTGGCCGGTCCCTCTCCCCTGCTGGCGAGCCGCGGGCAGGAGCCGAGCGGCCGACTGTCGGGGGTCCCAGCTGCCCTCAGCTCCTGCGTCTGCTTCCGGGCCTCCTTCCCCGCCAGCTGCCCGGGCGCGGGCGCGGACAGCGGGGTCATCACACGGCACCGGGAGCGGCAGCCTGGACCCACACAGCATGTCCGTGCTCGAGTGGCCCCTTGGGTTCACTTCTCGTGGCCGAGGTGCCCGAGCTACTCACTCAGGCCAAGGTGACCGAGCTACTCACTCAGGCCAAGGTGACCGAGCTACTCACTCAGGCCAAGGTGCCCGAGCTACTCACTCAGGGGGAACCTGAGCCAGGAGGGGCCGGGAAGACCCTGCCAGGCTGGGGCCCGGCTCCAGGGCCCCCCGGGCAGATCCCTGCCCACGGAGCACTGGTGGGCACCTAGGCCGGGGAGGGACCAGGGGCTGGGACCAGGGCCTGGTCAGCCTCTCGTCTCTGTGTGAGGGTCCTGGAGCTACCATAACAAAACCCCCAAACCTCAGGCAGCTTAAACCACAGACACTGTCCCATCCCGGACACTGGGGCCCGAGATCCAGGTGTCGCAGGGCTGGCTCCTCCCGAGGGCTCTCTCCTTGGTGTGCAGACGGCCACCCCCTGCCTCTGTCCCCCCAGGGTCATCCCTCTGTGTCCCAATCTCCTCCTCTTATGAGGACACCAGACCTATGCGTTCTGACCCACCCCAGTGACTGCATTTTACCTTCGTCACCTCTTTAAAGACCCCATCTCCAAATGTCACATTCTAAGGTGTTGGGAGTCGGGGCTGTAAGGTGTGAATTTTTGAGGGACACAGTCCAGCCCATAAGGCTCCTGGATGACTGGGGTTGTTTCTCCACAGCTGGGAGGGTCGCCCTTGGGTTTGCAGTGGCTCCGGCCACACAGTCCCAGGCTAGTGTAGGTGCACAGGCGTCCCCACTCAGACCCCATGTCCAGCAGGCAGTCGGGACCGAGGGTCCCAAGTTCAGGTGGCGGCTGACCATGTCCCAGCGCAGCGGGCAGGCCCCTGGGAGCAGCACAGCAGGGGACAGTCGGCGGCCGGCAGGGCCTGGCGGAGGGGCCCCTCCCAGATGTGCCCTGTGCACCTTTACGTGCGACTCTTAGGAGTCTCAGGTGGGCGGGGGGCTGCCGAACCACAGCCCAGGGTGGAGGCAGGCCCTGGGGCCTCGGGACCCCCCATCTGGGCTGGCCAGGAGCACCTCCCTCCCCAGACAGCGCTTCTCCTGTTAGACAGAACTCTGTCACAAATTCCACGGCACGGGGCGGCCCAGAGCAGGGGGAGGTGGCCGAGGGCTCCTGTCGCCTCCTGGCCGTTACCTGCCCGCTGCCCCCTGCCCCTGCCCCCTGCCCCTGCCCCTGCCCCCTGCCCCCTGCCTGCTGCCCCTGCCCGCTGCCCCTGCCCCTGCCCCTGCCCCCTGCCCCTGCCCGCTGCCCCTGCCCCCTGCCCCCTGCCCCTGCCCGCTGCCCCCTGCCCCTGCCCCTGCCCGCTGCCCCTACCCCTGCCCGCTGCCCCCTGCCCCTGCCCCCTGCCCCCTGCCTGCTGCCCCTGCCCGCTGCCCCTGCCCCCTGCCCGCTGCCCCTGCCCCTGCCCCTGCCCCCTGCCTGCTGCCCCTGCCCCTGCCCCTGTCCCCTGCCCCTGTCCCCTGCCCCTGTCCCCTGCCCCTGCCCCTGCCCCCTGCCCGCTGCCCCTGCCCCTGCCCCTGTCCCCTGCCCCTGCCCCCTGCCCCTGCCCCCTGCCCCTGCCCCTGCCCCCTGCCCGCTGCCCCTGCCCCTGCCCCTGCCCGCTGCCCCTGCCCCTGCCCCTGTCCCCTGCCCCTGCCCCCTGCCCCTGTCCCCTGCCCCTGTCCCCTGCCCCTGCCCCTGCCCCCTGCCCGCTGCCCCTGCCCCTGCCCCTGCCCCCTGCCCGCTGCCCCTGCCCCCTGCCCCTGCCCCTGCCCCTGCCCCTGTCCCCTGCCCCTGCCCCCTGCCCGCTGCCCCTGCCCCCTGCCCGCTGCCCCTGCCCCCTGCCCCTGCCCCCTGCCCGCTGCCCCTGCCCCTGCCCCCTGCCCCTGCCCCTGCCCCCTGCCCCTGCCCAGCTTCCTTCCTGGGGGCCTCCCTCCTGACATTTCTTAGGTCTGCCTGCCACCTGGTGGCTGATCTCCAAACTGCAGGGATGAGGACTCGGCATGGGTTGGGGACAGGAGAGGGGTGTCTGTCCTGCACCCTCTCCCTCTGGGACCTGGGTGGGCATGACTAAGCACGGAGTCCATTCCCACTTGGGTCCCCCCTCCCTTCCTTTCCACCCCTCTGAGGGCAGAGACCTGGGGCTGCCTCCTTGGCCCCCCTTCTCCTGTCACACTCGTCCCCGCTACCCTGCTGCCCCACCAGGCACCTCTGCACACAGCAGTGCTTGCTTGTGTGTGGGGGCGAGGGTGGGGAGCTTTCTTTCAAAACTTTGATCGTTGCAGAAGCTCCCTGTGGCATTTAGGGTACATTTGGCCTCTCTGGGCCCCAGAGTGTCCCACACTCAAGCACCCCTCCCCGCATGCCTGCCTTTATCTCCCCCACCCCACCCTCCACTCCCGTGCACTCTCGCTGACCCTGGGCCACTCCCGGCTGCCTCGGGCCTTTGCTGTGCTCCCAGCCAGGCTGTGTCTGGCATGTTACAGGACCAGCTTCTCGCCCGGCGCCTCCCCTGCAGCCCTCTGGGGGCCCCGTCGCCCCTGCTCTTCTCAGCCCCGTGTGCTGGGGGCTCTGGTGGGCTCGGTCTCCCCCGCCCGTGTGCCAGGGTGGGGCTGTCCGGTCTGCACCCAGAGCTGCCCCTGT